CATGAAGGTCCTTGCCCGGAGCCCAAAAAATGCGTAAATTGCGAAGGTCCACATTCAGCAGCTTATATGAATTGCCCAAAACTAAAAGCTGAAGCAGCAATACAGAAAGTAAAGGTAATGGAAAACATAACATATGCAGAAGCAAAAAGAAAAGTAAATATAACCACTCCAAAACCTACTACGTCCTATTCTGCTGCCGTCCAAAAGTCATCAGAAATGAACATTCAGCAGATCATATCAACAATAATTCCTCATATCGAAACTGCAGTTAGAAACGTAATCTCATGTTCTACATCTAAGTGCGACCATTTTAAAGCCCCATCATCAGGGCTAATCTTCCGTAGAGATAGATCTGATTCTGTCTCTACAAATTTATCGGCAGCGTCCGAAAAAAGAAAAAAACCAGGGGACTCCACTACAGATGATGATTCATCTGCTCTGGACCCCAACTCAAATCCAACAAAAAAACGGGGCAGGCCTAAAAGGACTGCCCCGTGAGTGATGCTATATCACTTATATCAACTCTATTTAAAAAAAAAACTATTTATTTTTATTTATTATGTACCGTCCATCCCTACATACTATTTATTTTATTTATTTGTTGTGAAAGTATTTTATTTACATACATTTAAACTCTTAAAATTGCAATGGAATCAATCATACAGTGGAACTGCAATGGAATTGTCCAACGGTACTGTGAGCTTAGGCTGCTTTTACAAAATCATGATCCAATGTGCTTATGTATTCAAGAGAGCCATCTCAGACCAAATCAAACTTACTCTCTTAGAAAATATAACATCTTGAGAAAAGATGTTGCAGCTGTCGAGCGAGCACATGGAGGAGTTGCGATAATTTTACGTGAGGATGTCTGTTTTGAGCCTTTATGTGTAAACTCAGCACTACAAGTTGTTGCAGCTCGAATAACAGTTCCTGTAAAGGTAACTGTCTGTAATATATACCTACCTGATGGAAATTGGCGACTTGGTGACATCGAAAACGTTATATCTCAGCTCCCAGCACCATTCTTGCTCATTGGAGATTTCAATGCGCATAATCCCCTGTGGGGATCAGGACGTTTAGATCACCGAGGAGAATTGATAGGAAACTTACTAGACAGAGAAGATCTGATGTTGCTAAATACAGGAATGTCCACCCATCTGGCTGCTCGTTCCGGATCTTTCTCTGCGATTGATCTAGCGATCAGTTCAACATCCATAGCCGATCGCCTCCAATGGAGAGCTCTAGATGACATGTATCATAGTGATCATTTTCCTTGTATCACGTCCTTTGACATAGCTAGAAGTAGTCCCCAAGTACCACAATACTGGTTGATGTCAAAGGCAAACTGGCAGCAATTCGAAGACTACTTATCAATTGTGAGTCCTGTACAAGATAATAACATTGGTATTCATAGTTTTACTCAGCTGATACATCAGGCTGCGGTGAACAGCATTCCGCTTGGTGGTGGATCTCCAAGAGGCCGTCGGTTACCATGGTGGAACTCTGACATATCCGATGCCGTGAGATCAAAAAAGCGTGCACTCAATATTTTTAAGAGGAACTGCACGGTATCAAACATGATATCTTTTAAGAAAGCTAGAGCTAAAGCGCGACGTCTTATTCTAGAAAGCCAGAGAAAATCATGGAGAGAATATGTCTCCACTATTACTACTGAAACGACAGCAAGTGAAGTATGGAATAAAGTCAGAGTCGTGTATGGTAGACAATCAGTTAGGCAAATCACACATCTGCGGACCTGTAACAGCAACATCATTAACAGCACAAATGAGGTCTGTAATTTACTAGCAGATAAATTTTCTACCGTCAGCAGCTCGGAAAACTATAGTCGCGAGTTCAGGTCCACCAAAAATGCAAGGGAATTACCATTAGACTTTTCAACAGACGTATCTTTAGCGTATAATGAGCCATTCCAACTGTTTGAGCTAGAAGAAGCCTTAAAAAAGACAAATCGATCAGCTCCTGGTCCGGATATGGTAAATTATGAGATGATCCGTCATCTCCCTCTCCATCTCAAGCTTACTCTCCTCAACATATACAACAGGATATGGCTTGCAGGAATATACCCAAAAGACTGGAAACTTGCAATCGTCATTCCCATTCTTAAACACGGAAAGGATCCACTCTTGCCTGAAAGTTATAGGCCCATAAGTCTTACTTGCTGTCTCGGAAAAATATTAGAGAGAATGGTAAATGAGCGCCTGTCGTGGTTTCTTGAAAAAAATGGCTTACTTGTTGATTACCAGGCAGGATTTAGAAAAAATATGTCTACAGTGGATCAACTTGTCTATGTAGAGAATGTCATCCAAAATGGGTTTAAAAACCGTCACCACACAGTAGCTGTGTGTTTTGACATAGAAAAAGCTTTTGATATGGTCTGGAGATATGATGTTCTATACCAACTGCACAACTGGGGCTTTAGAGGAAATCTCCCAAAATTTTTAAAATCCTTCCTTACAGACAGGCGTTTTCAAGTACGTGTAGGAAACACTCTTTCAACAGTCCACACCTTGGAAAATGGAATACCACAGGGATCGACACTTAGCTGTACGCTTTTTGCGATTGCTATTAATAAACTTGCCGAGTCCATAAATCCGGTGGTGGACAGATGTCTATACGTTGACGATTTGTGTATACTATCATCAGGCCCTTCCATTGAAGAGATTTCTGGTAACTTGCAGACAGCAATAAACAAAATAAGCCAAAATGCCATAAACAGTGGTTTCACATTGTCAAATACCAAAACAAAGTGCGTACATTTCTGCAGACTCCAACGTCAGCATGATGGGCCACTACTTTATCTACAAGGCCAGTTAATTCCCAACGAAACATCTATGAGATTTTTGGGATTGATATTTGACTCAAAGTTAACGTGGAAATGTCATATTGCAGAATTAATCTATAGGTGTAAGTCAACGTTGAATGTTATTAAGTGTCTGAGTTCTACCCGGTGGGGAGCTGATACAGAGGTTCTAATAAAAATATACAAGTCCTTGGTTCTATCAAAAATCGACTACGGATGCATTGTGTACTCATCCGCTCGACGTACTGCACTCAATAAGTTAAATACTATCCAAAACCTAGGACTGCGGTACTGCCTTGGAGCATTCCGTACAACGAGAGCAGCTAGCCTTTGCGCTGAAGCAGCCGTCGAGCCATTAACTCTAAGGAGAAAAAGACTCATACTCTCATACGAAGTCAGTACATCTGCTACGCCACATCATCGGAATTTCTCTCTGTTAAGTACGTATGATGAAACCTATAATAGAAGGCCTACTATCACAAGACCCCTCAGTGTGAGAATTTGTGAAATATCTCGAGAGCTAAATTTGACTAAAATGCCAGTATATCCACTCAAAAATGAAGCCCCACCTTGGCAGATCCCATCTGCACAAGTTAACACGGAGCTAACTAAATTTCACAAAAAGGAAACACCAACAGTACAACTGAGGTCTCATTTTCAAGGTATCCTGGAACAGTACACATGTGCCGAAACCATCTACACAGACGGTTCGAAAACTGCCTCAGGAGTTGGTTGCTCGATTATCATAAACGGGGTAGCCCATTTATGGACTCTCCCACCAATGACATCGATTTTCACAGCCGAACAGTATGCAATTTTACAGGCGCTTAAATACTGCCAGATAGAGTCAAAAAGCAACCTTACTCTTATAGTCAGCGATTCTTTGAGCACCCTAAACGCTATGTCAAATCGTTATTCCCGTGATCCGTTAATCTTAGCATGCCTTCAGACATTAAAGGTGTTGATGGATGGCGACAAGAGGGTAGTCTTTATATGGGTACCAGGACACGTAGGTATACTAGGAAATGAACTGGCAGATCAATCTGCAAGGCAGGCTGCTGCCGCAACTGGAATTGACTGTACAATAGTGAAAGCACCAGACTTGAAAATGAAAATTAGACAATGCATAACAGAAGCATGGCAAAGACAGTGGAACAATGAACTTACTCAGCTAAGAACAATAAAACCTGATGTAACAAAATGGACACCTAACGTCAAGATGAGTAGAGAAGAAGCCGTCCGGATACATAGACTGCGTTTGGGCCACACAGCATTGACACATTCCTACTTACTCTCTGGCCAAGGCCATCCAAATTGTCCGTCATGCGAGGCACGATTAACTGCAATGCATATTATGATAGAATGTCCAGCGTTAAGCAACCTTAGAAACAGTTTTGGTCTGTCAAGAGATTTCGCAGAAAATCTGAAAAAGCCTGATTTAATAAAAAACACGATATCGTTTCTGAAATGCACGGGCTTTTACTGGAAACTCTAATTATACTCAACCAAAATTGAATCACACAACGACAGGCAGCTAATGACCCAGTAGTCGATGCTGCATAATCGCAAGAACTACTACTACTTAGGTTATCTGTCATACTAATTCGAATTGTCAATAATTATTATTTTTTATCGTGAAGCATTTAAACACAACTATCTGCTTGAATGTTTATGTCGGTGATGGTAAGTTTAATAGCAACTGATTTCTTCTATAAATTTCTTTTACTTAAAGTTATCGTCTGGAGATATTATGAAAATAATAAAAAGAAGTCACACTCTTCAATATGTAGTTATGGCTAAATATGCATTTTTTAGTATTTTACAGTTGTTTTGTTAAAATGTATACCGAGAAATAGACTGCCAGTACAAAAACATCAGCAAATATTAAAAAAAATTTGAGGAATATTACTCTGCAGTGATCGCAAGGTGGCATGATTCCAATTGGGGTTAAAGTAGAAAAAAGTAAATGAAAAAAAATGGGAGGTTAGCTAAAGGAAACCACGTAATAATTTTACAAAAGTGTGAAGAGCCAAACGTAGGCAGAGGTGATTGTACCGAACACCAAGGCAAGTGCGACAAAGATTTCCAAGGAAACTATTTGGCAAGCTTCTGTATTGGCAGGCACTATTTCAGCTGGACTACCGGAAAAAAGAGACTTGCCTAAGTAGACAAATATTAGATGAAGTTCGATGTTGAGTTGTAGCCGCAGAAGCAGGCTTAAGAGGTTATTAGACCTGAAAAAGTACAGTCTATTGTCACAGCGTTAAGATGATATTCTCCATAGTAAAAAATTGAATTTGTAGGAAATCAATTTAAGTTAATAGTCGTATTTCATGTTCTCAGACAGAGACAGAACTAGCCAAAGATCATTTTTCCAATTTCACGTACTTTGCAGAAAACGATACTTTGAACAATCTTAGAGCGCTTTCCAAGTTTGAACAACATTCTCTTTTCTGACGAAGTTCATTTTCATTTGAAATTACCGAATTACAACACCAACAGCCTTTGCATTCGCGTTATGCTACAGTTTGTAGGGCCATGTCGGCTGAAGGGATCATCGGACCTTATTTCTTCTAAAACGAGCAAGGCCAGACTGTAGCAGTAAAGTAGGGTAGGTAAAGTTCGGTTAGCTATAAAAGCGTGTGTATTAGTTTGTTCAAACTATTATTCATTTTTCATTTCTTAGTTCTATTTATCAATTAGTTTTTTGTGGACATGTGGTACTGAAATGCCTTACGAATCATTTCGGAATCTAATCATTTCATTTAAAGCTTCGCTGTTGCGTGGGGTTTTTCCTCTTAACTTAGAGGAATCAAGTTCTTACGTAAAATTACAGATGTTAATGAACTATGCGAATACATTTTATGCTTTTTCAATATTTGATATTTATTTTCCTAAATATACGCATACCTGCAAATTCAGGTATCCTCCTTGGTATACTGGAGAAATTATGAGTAACATAAATTTGAAGGATTACTACTACAAAAAATATAAGAGAACAAGCAATGTTTACTATTACAATGAGTTTTCTAGATTGCGCAGAATCATAAAGGGGCAAAGTGGAGTTGCTTACATTGAGTACTTGTCCTCGGTCGAGGACAGTATAGTCGACGACCCGAAGAAGTTCTGGTCATACATTCGGAACAAAAGAGACTCTAGCAGATTACCAGGCCAAGTCCAGTTCAATGGCAACGTATTTAATACTCCACAAGGTGTTATTGATGCATTTGCTGACTATTTTAGGAGTGTGTATTTTACTCCGCGAAATATTCCCTCTTCTTTAGATAGCGTCACCTCAACAACATGTATTTATCTAGAGGAATTAACGGAACCTCCCTCAGCTTCAAAATAAACTTACGTCTGGTAGAGATCAAATACCTACTTTTATTATTAAAGATTGTGCTCATGTTTTCGTCAAGCCGATGGTGATAATTTTCAATGCTATATTACAAAGTGGAATTTTTCCTGATGTTCGGAAGATAGCAAAGGTGTGTCCGGTCCTGAAACTTTGCAAAGGCTTTGGAAATGGCAATTTACTCTTTTATCTTCGAGAACGTTAAAAGCCTAATTACACCATCACAGCACGGTTTCATCAAAGGTAGATCCACTACGTCAAATTTAATGATAATTACGCAGTATATAGCAGAATCGTTAGACAATAAACATCAAGTCGATGTTATTTACATGGATTTCAGCAAGGCTTTCCACAAATTAAACCATCATCTTCTTGTGGATAGCCTTCATTATTTCGGCCTTGGTGACTCGTTAGTCGGTCTTCTAAGCTCATATCTTTCTAATAGGACACAATATGCTTATTATAATGGTTTTTCTTCAGCTAATTATACTGTTCCCTCTGGAGTACCTTAAGGTTCAAAACTAGGTCCCTTGCTGCTTTTATTCTTCATAAATAACCTAGCCGCTTCGCTAAAGTGTGAATCTCTACTATTTGCTGATGATCTGGAAATCTACATCAAAATTACAAATTTGGAGAGCTGTGTTTCCCTTCAGGACGATCTGCGTACCATCACACAGTGGTGTGACAATAATATTATCTTCTTGAATATTTCCAAATGCAAAGTATGTTCATATTGTCGTAAAATGAATCCGATTATTTTTGATTACTCCATAAATAATGCGGTTTTGGGCAGAACAACAGAGACTAAAGATCTTGGTGTAACATTTTCCTGTAGATTGGACTTGTCTGTCCATGTAGCACACGTCACTTCCGAAGCGACACGGATTCTGGGTTGCATAACGTGTAACTGCCGATCTTTTTCCAACGAAGCGGCACTAAAAGCTCTTTTTATCTCACTGGTGCGACCAAAACTGAGTATGCTTTCTTTGATATGGAACCCTTTCTATGCGTATTATACAGGGTGGCGCATCGAAAACAAAACAAACGCATTTACTGGCAGCTCAGTTTTTTTTTGAAAAAACGCTCAGACCCGTCGATTTTGTTTTCGAGGGGGACACAAGTTTGGCAGAAAATCACGTTAATACGTGCAGCCCCCTGGGCGGGGGTGACACCAACCCTGAAATCTTAAATGGAAAGGGGGGTCAAGTGATACTTTATTCTAAAGATCTTTCAATTCCCTTTATAATGGTATAAAATTACTGTACTTCAGTTCAGTAGTTTTGAAGATTTATTGATTTAAAGCTTGAATAAATAAACTTTAATAGGTACATCAGATTATTTTGTACTACTTTCAGAAGAAATTTGACTAAAAGAATTTACTTAATAAGTAAATGCTTTTCTTCACTACGCCCATGGTTTGTTTATCATTTTGTTGTTGAAAATAGCTATTGGAGCTTTTTTTGTGGCATAAAAGTTATTTCTTGAAGAAAGATAAGGAAATATCTCGTACTTATTTTAAATAGGAATTTAGTACATAGTTTGCGATTGATTTGACCAAACTTTTTTGCTAAAATAACTTGTAACGCTTTATTACATAAATTAACCATGGTATATTCCACAGCAGAAAGAGTTGAAATTATCGAAATATTTTTCGGAAATAATCAGTGCGCTAATAGAACAGCAGAATTATTTAATGATCGACATGAGAACAGTAACGTGCATCGAAAATATGTTCTAGAACTTGTAGCTAAATTTCGGGTCAGTCGCCAGTAAAAAACGCAACATTGAAAATCCCATAAGAAACAAAGCAATAGAAGTGGGGTTTTAGGGCAAGTTTATGTAGATCCTACGTTAAGTACCCGCAAATTGGTGTGGTGTTAGTCGACGTACTGTCCAACGGATTCTAAAGGCCCATAGTTTTCATCTGTATAAAATTCACCTGGTACAAGAACTTAATGAAGACGATTTGGATCGGCGATTACAATTTTGTGAAGATATGAGTGAACGAATTATAAACGATGAACATTTTCTATTCAACACTTGGTCCGATTCTAATCCCAGAATTTATCATGAGGTTCATATACAGCAGCCACAAAAATTAAATGTTTGGGCTGGTATTTTTGGCGATCATTTAGTTGGTCCTTTTTTATGACCTGGAAATTTGACCGGTGAAATGTATTTGGAATTACTGGAAGACGCCATAGATCCTGGATTAACAGCCATAATTGAAAATCGGAATGATCGGCGGTACATTGCGAATAGGTTAATGTTCCAACAGGATGGTGCCCCACCACATTACGCATTACGTGTTCGATAATATTTAGATCAGACGTTTCCAGATCGATGGATTGGTAGAAGAGGTGCCATTGAATGGCCCTCAAGATCACCAGATTTATCACCTTTGGATTTCTTTATGTGGGGTCATTTAAAAAGCAAAATCTATGCTACTCAGCCAACATCATTAGAAGACCTGCGACAAAGAATTGTGAATGAGTGCCTTCAAATTACTCCTCAAATATTGCAAAATGTGCGGCAACGTTATGAGCAAAATCTTTATTATTGCATGGAGAGTCATGGTGGCCATTTTCAACATTTACTTGCCTAACGGGCAGTTCATTCTTCATTTTTAAATTACTTTGCTGCCAATTGTATTGATCTCCACTAATGATGATGTATTAGTTTTATTTAAGCTTTAAATCAATAAATCTCCAAAACTACTGAACTGAAGTACATTAATTATATATCATTATAAACGGAATTGAAAGATCTTTAAAATAAGATATCACTCGACCCCCCTTTCCAATTAAGGTTTTGGAGGTGGTGCCACCCCCTCTTAGGGGGCTGCACGTGCTAACGTGATTTTTTGCCAAACTTGTGTCCCCCTCGAAAACAAAATCGATGGGTCCGAGCGTTTTTAAAAAACAACTGAGCTGCCAGTAAATGCGTCTGTTTCGATTTCGATGCGCCACCCTGAATAAATATCTTAGAAAATGCACAAAGAAAATTTCTTAAATACTGTGCTTATAAAATCGATGGCACCTATCCAAAAAGGGGGATCTCTCAATTTGTTCTGCTGCGTCGTTTTGAACTAGAGTCTCTACAGTTAAGACGTTCCACTGCTGGCCTGTCATTCCTTGATCAGTTTTTGCACGACAGAGTGGATGCACTAGAACCTCTCCAGAGGTTAAATTTCTGTATCCCACGGTTAAATACGAGAACTCTAACTTTCTACTGCAGTACCTCCCGTACCAATGTATCATTTTATTCTCCGCTACATTCTATATGCAACAATTATAATTACCATAGCAGACAGTTATGACATTAATTTTGATTGTATCAGTAAGATCTTGTCAAATTTCAGGTACTATTATAACAGCTAATTCTGTTTTTAAGCTAGTTTTATGTATACATTATATGTATGTATTATAAGTAAGGATACTATGACATTGTCCTCTAATGGGAATAGTTCTGTAGGGCAATTATGTATAAAAATAAAATAAAATAAAATCCGAATAATGTCTGAAGATCTTACACACTAAGTGCAACATAAGCTTGTCCAGCAGCGAACAGTCGCGACCCTAGATAAATGACTGCATGATCGACAGTACAACCTTGCATCTTGTGGACGGTCGAAGCCCAACTCAGGATTAATAGCAACATTCGCAATGAACAAGGTGAGAATTCACTACCTTGAAAAAGTATCTGCCTCCGTTGTGCAGTGCCGAGTGCCCAAACCAACAAAGAGTAAGTCCCAAACTGCTCGCATGCGCAGATCGCGCGCTAGCTCTATCTCTCTTACTCCTCTACACAGGATCTATAAAAGAATTTATCAATCCTGGCGATTCTAATAAGGATAATGTAAAGTTGTCGTCATGCCTTGATCAAACTTCTGGAAATTAGTGAAAATTATGCTCAAAGAATCCGTTACATACATACATGCAGGCCAAGCTAATAAAAAATCGTGTTAAAAATATACATTATCTTGCCGATGCTTTGTAGTTTTTTTATGATTTTTCAAAACGTGTACAACTTATTGAGAAGCTTCCGATCCCGGTAATAATTTGAAATATGAGCGAACGATCCTTCTATGTAAGATCAATGCCGCAGCAGAAACAGGCAAACAGTACTGCCATAATAAACACGAGAAACGTAATGGCGGCGCAGTAGAGGAGTGGCCAAGGGTGTCCGAGGTTGGACCGACGTCACGTAGCAGGATGCGCATTCAGTTCTTACTCTTAAAATGACCCTCGTAGATCGGAAGATAGTTGCTAAGCCGTCAAGAAATAGCTACTTACCTAGGAGCCGACGTACCGCCGCAATAAGTACCCTATCAGAAACAAGATGAAAATTACAGCAAGTACTGCAACCTGAGATTTCAGTAACTTCTATAGTCTTCGCTCCTTCTCGCAGGTACAACGTGCCTGCTTGCTAGAAAAGTTTAATAAAACTGTGTACAATAATAATTGAGTGACGTCCTCCCCATCTTAGGGTAAATTGGAACAACTGCCAATCACGCGATCGTTTTGATAAGTCTAGCTTAATCCTTCATGTTTGTCTGGCCGAATCAAACCTCAGTATTATACAATGACTAACAAGATGCGTCCTAGCGCACATCCTGTTTCGATGGATGGCCGAGTTCTACAAAGGAGCCGCTCATTTTGGCTGGTCGGAGTTGAGATCACCGAGAACTTGATCTGGCACGAATGTCCAGGTGGAGGGTGGGCTCGAGGGAACAACATCGAGGATGAAATTTGCATCTGCGGGATTAACAGCAACATTGATGCTGTTCATCACTACCTGCAATTCATCGTCCCGCCATGCTTTTCTTGGCGGAGACAAAAATCTCAGAGTCTGCACCGATTAACCATCTTAACTTCGAAAACTACGAGAAAGAACGGGAGAGTTGTGGCTTTTGTCCGCAGCAGCCTTTACTGCTCCAGAGATGTTTCTTTGGAGTCAGACCGGAATTACATTCTGTGGCTTCGCCTCAACTCCAAAACATCACCCAAATTTATCCGCTGATATAAAAGCTAGGCACAGGGTAATGTCGCAGCACAATGGCAGTCATTCTTTCTGGACGCTAGCCAAGCAGATTGAAAAGAACTTCTTACACAGTAGCCTTCCACCACTTACGTGTCAGGATGGAACTATTGTATTTGACTCAAAGGCCAAGGCGGAAGTGATAGCCAAGATCTTTGCTGCCAACTCCACCATGGACGTCACCCCAACGCCCAAGTGCCGTCAATTCAAAGGGTTCCCTACACTATGCGGGAGGTAACATTCAGGCATAAAGCTTCTGGTCCGGACTTGATTCCTGCCATTGTACTGAAGAGGTGTGCATCTTATGAATCCGGCACCTTCCCGAAAACTGGAAATTTGCTCATGTCCAACCCATCCCAAAAAAGGATCTAAGGACCCTTACAACTACAGGCCTATAGCTCTGCTTTCTGTTATAAGTAAGGTGATGGAGAGGTGCATAAATCGCGAGCTTCTGGACTACCTCAAACGTCACAGGCTGATTAGCGACAGGCAGTATGGTTTCCAGCATCAACGATCCACAGGGGACCTCCTAGCTTACGTCACGCAATTGTGGAGTAAACTCATCCAGTCTTATGGTGCGGCTCATGTCGCTGCTCTTGACAAAAAACCTCCTTTCCTGCACGATCAACCCAGTCCATAGCTTCGCTGATGACAGGACTCTATATGCAGGAATTCAGAGTGACAAGCCGATCTCTGCCGCTGAGCTGGAAAAAAGAAGACTAGCGACGACTTCCTCTCTGACAAGAGACCTGGAGGCTATCACTGCTTGGGGAAGTACCAATCTTATACAGTTCAATGCTTAAAAAACACAGTACTCTACTTTGACGAACAAAAAGCGTCCTAGCGCTCATCCAGTTTTGATGGATGGCCGAGTTCTGCCAAAAAGCAATTCATTTCGGCTGGTCGGAGTCCAGGTCACCGAGGACATGATCTGGCACGAGTACATCTCCTCAATAGCTGCAGCTGCTGGGAAAAAGCTATGCTATTTGCTTAGGGCTAAGAAGTACTTTTCTCCGCATGACCTTCTCACTCTACATATAGAAGGCCCAGATAAGGCCTAGCCTCGAGTATTGCTCACACATTTGGGGTGCTGCCGCCCCGACTACATTATCTATGCTCGATGCTGTCCAGAGGAGGGCGGTCCGACTGATCGATGACTCTTCTCTAACAGACAGTCTCGGACTATTTCGCACCGGCGGGCCGTCGGCGATCTAGCTCTCTTCTACCTCTACAACAACGGGCTTTACACCTCAGAGCTCTCCTCCATGATGCCGCCGCGCTATGTGCCTGCCAGACAGACCCGCCTAACTTTGGCGTCGCATCCTAACCGTGTCGAAGTTCGTACATCCAGAACTGGCCGATACGATCGCTCCTTTGTCCCTAGGGTATCGAGATTGTGGAATAGTCTAGTAGCGGTGCCCTGCGCTAAGGCTTCGGTGGAAAAATATGAGGCTGGATTCGGCTAGACAAAAGTGATTATCTGCATGAAAATCAGGATAAGTTTCAGATGTTACACATCAGGAGCACGAGCACGTGAAAACGCCGTCACAAACTGGTCATCAGATCAAAAACTCTAGATCCCCTCATGCTTGAGATTTATTGATGCAGCTTCTAAAACTGATCTTGCGGATGTCTCGCAGATTTCTTTCCAAGTTCCATGTGGAAAGAAAAATCTTACTGCATTTCGCCCACCTCGGTGAAAAAGACCACCACCGAAACGACAACCAGATTTTCCTTCGACATATATGGTTTCATTTAACAGCCAGTGAAACATAAATATGAATCTTCCATTTAGTCTCTTTTTGATTTTGTGGCGGTATGAAAAAACAAAATTTGCGATCCCATTTTTCATATTTCAAATGCAAATCTACCAATATGCGTAAGCGATATTATCCGGTAAACAACGTCCGACGATTCTTTATTAATTTGTTGTTACGAATATTAAAACATATTGCCCCATATTTTGAAAATCAGAGCGGAAGCGATTTCTGTTTGTGGATATTTCATCGATCTTTCTCAATCGGTTTTTCCAAATAATTCAAATTATTTAAAATATGAATACAAATAACCATACTAGTTTCATTTAAAACAAAGTTTATTTTAAGACGATTGTAATAAAGTTACCACACTTTTGAGGTAGATTCCATTTCTACCGTCGGACGGACTTTGCTTTGAAATAATTTGAGAATCCCACGTATATATAATTTTCCTGACTAGCTCGGACATAAAAATTTTTTGCATTATAACAGCAAGATACATAGAGTTGAAGATATGTTATCTGAAAACAATGTTTCGAAGACTCTCTGAATAAGCCAAATAACTAGTTCCAAATACCTCAGTATCTAATATACAGGGTGTTCGAAAAATAGACGGAGCTATTTTAGAGGGTGAAAATATCGAAAAAACATGGGTCCGAAAATGCATGCATGAGTTTTCAAGGTACTGGGTGATAATTTTTATTTAACTTTTTAGAGAAATTTCGCAAATGAAATTTCAGAAATCATTTTTTTTTTTAAAATTAACAAGTCAATTTTGTGTAGTGACATGCAATTAAACGATTTTAATTTTTTTTTCTCGAAAACGAGGTGAGATACGAAAAAAATATAAGCGGCAAAGAAGTTATATTTTTATATGCTTAATCAAACAACAAGTTAAAAAACATGTATTTGCAAGAAAGGCAGTACGTACATTTTTTCACCAATAATATTTGCTAAGGTGACCTCGGGCCGCCACTGGACCTAATAATATTATAATGTATAACAAATAATATTGCCAAATTTCAACAAAATCTAGAAGATATTAATAACAAAAAGAAACAAAAATTTAAATTTACCACCTTGTATCTCGAGAACCCATGCTTATATAAACCTTTTTTCATATTTTTTAACAAAGGAATCACCCTCTAAAATATGTCTATCTTTCGAACACCCTGTATACTATGAGACATATAAAATGCAACACCCAGAATTATTTATTGGATTTTGATAGAAACTTCGTCCTGAGTAAATCTGCTCCAGTGGCCTCCTCGATCTCCAGACCTTTCCCCCATCGAACATGTATGGGACATGGTTGAAACAAAATTCACCTCACCCTCCACAAACATTGAAGGCTCTACGAAACCAAATTCTATGTCATTCAGCATATATTGACGTTAAGACTACAGAGACAATTTTTCTATCATGTAAAAAATTGTCTTTTCATTTTACTTTCTGAGGCCTGAAAGGGGGGCGGCTGTCCCCCTTGACTTTCCTGAATACGTTCATGTGGGACAAAAAGTAAAAATTTATCAACATTCATGTCGAGTACTTCCAAGCTAGATGGGTTTTCTCAGTTTGCGGCAACGCTTTAACGGGCCCTCAAATTGGATAAAATCAAGAGCTATTTCAAATAGGTTGAGGGTCGAACATGATTAAATTCTTCAATAATCCAGAATGCAGGATTCGAAATGCGAGATACCAAAGCCTTGCCGCCTACATACATACCGGGTGTATAGTTAGTAGTGGATTAACGAAGTCAGGTGATAGAGGACCTTAAAACATATCGAATGAACCCCTATATGTGTGGTCCGAAATTTTATAGTTATATTTGGGTGCCTACAGGGCGGTGTCAGGGGATCGTGGTAACAGTTATCTCTTGATGATGATCAGCATCACTGAGAAAAATTCCTGTGGATACCCGTGGACAATAATATTATTGTTCTAATAAAAAAAAGAAATATGTGAATTGTAGTAACATATCAACACAATTCAATTTTTTTCTAATTTTTAATTTATGCAGGTGCCAACAAGGGCTCGGGAATGAAAACATCTGGACCATAATAATGTTAATACTGATATGTTTGTAGAAAAATGTATGAGATTCGTATAACAAATATATACATATTTAGGTATTTGCAGTTTACGTCTTTCTTCTGAACCTTTCCAGATTAGTAAGTAGATATGAGTTATCTTATAACAGCTTGTGTTATTGACATTGCTATTTTAACATACAAAAAAAATGTATTCAAGATAGCGCAAAATGTTAATAATATATGCTGTAATAAGATCTCCCATATCCCACCAAATTCATATATATATATATATATATAAAAGTATAATAATTTCAGATTTATATGTAGAGCTGGCAACGTTGCGGGATATTAATGGACAATCTGGCAATCATGTCGCACCCTCAAAAAATGGCCGCTGACAACCACACAAGTCACCGTGTTGCCAATGAATAGCATGGAATTAAACCTTTTTCAGTGTATATCTTTTGTGACTTAGACAGCCTTTCCTGGGCGTGGGATAGGTAGAGTTGGAAACATACGATGGCCTCCAAGGTCACCCGATTTAAATCCTCTAGATTTTTTATATGGAGGTTTAATAAGGGGATAATCTATACATCTGAATATACAAGTGTCAACCAACTGCGCCAGAAAATTGATGAAGTAAAAAATAAAAATTATGGAAAACGCAAATTCATTTCAAATACTAAAGGACATTTTTTTGTATAGAAAATAATGGAGGCCATTCCGAACATGTTCTTCAAAAGTTAGTTAAATCAAATTGTCTTCCACATTTGTCGGTAAATCGCCATGAAGAGCGACGAAACACAACAGGTTCTGTACTTGTAGGTGTAAGTATTCTGTTGCGTTTCTTACGTTTATCGCATCACAACAACGAATGTGACATGATACACTCATCGTAGCAACCTGAAATTTTCAGGGTTTATTCTACATGGATTTAAATAGATTTTACAATAAAATGAATAATGAAATACAAACTCAATTTTTTTACCGCCCTCCACAATAGAGGGATGGAAGTAATGTTTCACAAAAAAATGAATTTAATATTTTTTTGCGTTTATTTCTAATAGGCTCTGTTAAAAAGTGACATAACCATTGCTAAAACTAACCATTTAACTCATCTCAGAAAAGAGTCACAGCCCTAAACCTAATGATTTAGTTGTAATTGCGACTGAAAGTTCATTATCCCGTTTTTTTTTTTCGAAATTTCACAAAGTTGCAAATATCTCCTGAACTACTACTACTAAAATTTCGGACCACCCATATAGGGGATCATTCGATAGGTTTTGAGGCCGTCTATCACCTGACTTCCGTTGATCCACTACTAACTTTACACTCTGTACCTATAGTCACAGCTATAGTATAGGACTGACTACAGCAAAACTGGAACTCTTGTGAGCCACATCTCGCATTCTATATCAACGTGTATTCGAGCTTTATACTACCCTACCTTCTCATGCGAAATGTTTGACAGCAGGTAGGGTCTTCCTCGTCCTCGTCCTCCTCCTCGTCCTCCTCGTCCTCTTCAGGCTCCTCAGGAACTTCGGGCACTGTAGGAAGTACATCAGGCTCTTCAGGAGGAGATGGATCATCTGGAATACCTGTATATAAGGATGATACCGTGGGGATATGTGGAAAGGGCTTCGTCCTGATTACGTCTTCTAAATTTACCACCTTCTTCCGAGATTTCTTTATTGGGGCCCTCATGCTCACTCTGCAAAAATGTCAAGTAGATTTAACTGACGCATCGGTATAGCTTAGAATACCACGGTCTAGGAAATTTGTTATTATATTATGTTGTCTTTAAATCCTCCTAATTATACAAGGTAAAACAAAATAGATAATATGGTTTGAATTTTACATAACGTTTTCCAAAATTTACTTTTTTTAGGATCTAGTAGAGCAGATTGATGGATGGAATTATCGAACGTTTAGATTGAGAGTTTGAGAAGTCTAGTTTCCATTCATCGGAATCCAGCAATGGTGCTGTAATGAGAGCTGTCAAAAACTATCCAAACCTGTAGTTTCAACGGGATTAAACTACTCACTTTAACCGATTTTTTAGCGGCTCTGTTATCAAATTTTTGAGAACTACATTATAATATCATTTGTTTTTTTTAACACGCTTAGGCCTGTATGTATGCATGTAACGGAGTCTTTGAGCATAATTTTCACCATTTTCCAGAAGTTTATTTAATTTGAAACTTCACACACGTATCAAGCACCCATGACAATGCAATAATTTGATAACAGTTTTCCATTATCCTTATAAGAAAAATTCTTCAAAAAGCAGATTGCTAATGAAAAGTCACGGACTTGAAATGCCGCTTTACGAACATTGAAATCAGAAGCCTCTGTAGCCCAAGTGGTAAAGCACTGGACTTGTAAGCAAGTTGTCGTGAGTTCAATCCTCACAAGAGGCAGATTGTTTGTATACTTTTTTTTATTATTTTAACACGCTTTTATCAGCTTGACCTATATGTATGCATGTATGTATGTATGCTTGTATGTATGTATGTATGAATATATATATATATATATATACAGGGTTATCCAAATTAAGTGTCCACCATTAGTAACTTTGTTATTAGTGAAAATACAAAGTTGTTTGAATTAGCAAACTAGTAGCATTTTTAACGTTGGTAAAAATGAGAAATAAAAATTTTTTTTTAAATGGAAACCCCTGTATATTATATTTTTTTCTGTTGAAGCATCAAATTTTAAACAAAAAAGTTCATAATGACTTTTCCGCTAAAGTCAAAAATAAAGTCAAAATAACAATAAATATTTTTAATTATTTGCAGTATTATAATATTAAGACGGCTATGAAAACAACATGGCGTTCGCGATTTGACAGCATTAAGATAAGCGACAAATTGTTAAACTGGACATACTCGCAACTAGAAGGCTTTGGAAAACAATGATAAAATCAAATAATGTCAAACATTAGTGTAAATACTTGTTGATAAGCTTTATTGTGTCATTAATTTAAAGAAAAATGTTCTCCCATGAAGAAAAGTGTGATATGTTAGAATGCTATTTAGTGTGCAGAAAATCCTCCTTGAGAGCAAGTGAATTATATCCCGCTCGCATTCAACCGTATGAACGATATTTTCTGAGACTTTATCGAAAATTTAGGGGCAACGAAAATGTTTTTTCAAAACAAGGGCAAAAAAAGAATTCATAATAAGCGAGGCCACGGAAATTGCAGTTATTGGATCTTTTGAAGCTTATCGTGAGAATTCAATAGCAGATATTCTCAAGGACTCTAATTTCAGTTATGGTACTGTTCAAAGGATTTTAAAAAAATACAAATTTATTCCGTATAAGTACCGACCAGTTCAAACGCTTTTGGCAGGGGATCCAGAGAGAAGACTTGTTTTTTGCCATTGGTATCTTAGCTTCTGTCGCCAAAATGTAAATAACTTTCGTTACCTTTTATGGACAGATGAATCAAATTTTTCAAATTCTGGAATGTTTAATAGAAAAAACCACCATTATTGGTCAAGAGAAAATCTTTTGTTAGTACATCCAAGAGGCCCACAAGTCCGTTTCAGTTTCAACGTTTGGTGCGGTATAATTGGTTCAAAAATTGTTGGCCCGTTCTTTTATGAGGGAACCCTAACTGGTGAAAGATATGTGGAATTTATGTCAGAAATTCTGACTAATTTCTTAGACGAATTGGATCTTATAAGTAGACATCATCTGCATTTTCAGCAAGATGGCGCACCTGCCCACAACTCCAGAGGTACTTATCATTTTCTAAGTACTACTTTTAATGATCAGTGGATAGGAACAAATGGCCCAATACAGTGGCCTCCCAGATCACCAGATCTAAACCCACTTGATTACTTCTTGTGGGGTTACTTAAAGAACCAAATTTACAAGCGAAGGTACGATAACCTTGACGCGTTAAAGACTGCAGTTAGGGAAAAGATAACCCAGATAAATGGTAGGACCATACTTAAGACAGTTCGAGCAGTTGAAAAACGTGCCCAAAAATGTATTGAAGAACAAGGTGGTGTTTTCGAGCATCTTCTTTAAAAAAAATTGTTATTGTATTTTGTAAGATTATAAGTTGATGTTGAAAATAAAGTTTGTCGATACAATTTAATTGTTTCAGATTGGAGGCCATAACTTCAACAATTTGTAACCTAGGAGAAAAGTTATTGTAAGCTTTTTTGTTTAAAATTTGATGCTTTAACAGAAAAAAATATAATATACAGGGGTTTCCATTTAAAAAAATGTTATTTTACTGAAAAAAATCAAAATAACGACTCTCAATTGTTTTTTTTTATTTCTCATTTTTACCAGCGTTAAAAATGCTACTAGTTTGCTAATTCAAACAACTTTGTATTTTCACTAATAACAAAGTTACTAATGGTGGACACTTAATTTGGATAACCCTGTATATATGTACAGGGTGTCCCGAAAAAGTGTTCAATATTCTACCAGCGGTTTCTAGAGCTTAAAATAGGAAGAAAAGTTTATATAAACATAGGTCGCTAACGTCCCCTAAGGGCGCTACGGTCTTTTAAAGGGGCTCCCCTGAAGATGGTTTTTCCTTAATATTTCCGAAACGTGTTGAGGTAAAGACATAAAATTTGGTATTCTAGCCTAGTTTTTTATACTGGATTTAAAAATATTAACAATTTTAGACAGCTTTGTTTGGAAGCGTATGTAACAGGGACGAACTCAGGTTATTTTAGCCCCCAAAATTTTTGTGTAATTCTATTTTTGAAATTCAATTTTAGAATTTGAAAATTTACGGTTTTATACATAAAAAAGGTACTCTTATTGAATATCGATAAATTGTGCCATTTTTGAATAAAATCAAACTAAAAAATTTGTCACATGATAGGGAATGTACTGCGAATTTAAATGAATTGTTGATTATACATAGTTAGCCATGACTGCAAACAAAAGTTGTTTTGATTTGTTATGACTTATTTTGACGTTAAGCTGACATTGTTTGCAGTGTAAGATTACTAGATTAAAGCCAAAATTTTTATTAAATCGATTTAAAATGCCAAGATTTACAGACATAGAACTGACTGACATGCATTTTGTGTACGGGTTTTGCAATGGCAGTTCATTGGCAGCAGTAAGAGAATATCAAAGAAGATTTCCCATAGTACCTGGACGTCGAATGTTTATTGATATTCACCGGAATTTGTCAAACCATGGAAGTTTTCAGCGCACGCAGGACTCAGGAAGGCCACTGGGAAATCATCGTATAGATATCGCTTTAAATATGTTTGAAAATAATCCGCAAATAAGCATACGAAATGTTTCAGAAATTATGGATAAACCTCTATCAATAGAAAAATTTATGAATACCTATTTGATAGTTATCCTAAAAATAATAATTTTAGATAGGAAGAATGACAAGAATGCAAGGTTTACATCCTTATCATTTTAAACGGGTGCAGCACGTAACGGAGGCAGATTTTTTACCACGAACCGAGTTTTGCCAGTGAATATTAGCAAATGAAAACGCTATTCTTAGAATATTATGGTCGGATGAGTCAATATTTACTAGGAATGGTGCATTAATTTCCGTAATATGCATCACTGGTCAGATGAAAATTCAAAAGTTGATCGCTGTACAAATTCCAACATAGATTTTCGTTGAACTTATGGGCAGGAGTAATTGGGGATCAAGTAATTGGGAAGTATCCCAATCGTCTTAATTCAGAGGTGTAGCTGAACTTTCTTCAGAATGAGCTCATGAATATAATACCATTGGATGTGCACCAGCAGTTAAAAGAAAAATATGTTTTTTCAACATGATGGCGCCCCTGCACATTTTGGACGCAATGTTCGAAATTGGTTGAATGTCAATTTTCCAGACAGGTGGTTAGGCCGAGGAGGTCCTATAGCGTGCCCGCCACGTTCACCTGACCTAAATCCATTGTATTTCTATTTTTAGGGGTTATTAAAAGACCTAGTTTACTCGACTGAAGGAAATACTCAAGAAGATTTACTTCAAACAATCCATCAGGCTGCAAATGAAATAAGAAGAAAAAGGTTTTCCACTTTTCGGGCTACGCAATCATTAGTTCGTCGAACAAAATGGGAATTTATTTGAACACTTATTGTAAAGCTAGTTTTAAGTATATCCAACTGTATGTCTTCTTTTTTAAACAAATTTCAATTTCGTTCATAGAAAAAATTTATTTCTTTTGTTTTTGCCTAAATGTTAGCTATGTTGCAATAGAAATATGTATTCATGTAATATTTACCTATTATTAAATTAGTTTTTTCGTTCTCATGGCTAATTATTCAACAATTCATTTAAATTCGAAGTACATTTCCTATCATGTGACAAATTGTTTAGTTTGATTTTATTCGAAACTGGCACAATTTATCGATATTCAATAAGAGTACCTTTTTATTAAGAAAACCCTATATTTGCAAATTCTATTGAATTTCAAAAATAGAGTCACACAAAAATTTTGGAGCTAAATTAACCTGTCCGTCCCTGTTACATACGCTTCCAAACAAAGCTGTCTAAAATTGATAATATTTTTAAATCCAGCATAAAAAACTAGGTGAGAATACCAAATTTCATGTCTTTATCTCAACACGTTTCGGAAATATTAAGGAAAAACCATCTTCAGGAGAGCCTGTTTAAAAGACCGTAGCGCCCTTAGGGGACGTTTGCCGACCTACGTTTATATAAACTTTTCTTCCTATTTTAAGCTCTAGAAACCGGTAGAATGTTGCACACTTTTTTCGGGACACCCTGTATATATATATATATATACATCTTAGGAAAAACCATTGTTATACATGGGAAATCATTTCTTGGCAACAGCGCATCGGCTCGTCTACTTTCATCGCTATTCTTACATATTTCCTACCGTTAACCGCAGACCTGTATCACCAATGAGAATAATAGGCAGATACGCTGTGTTGCCAATTTGAGTAGAGCTTCCCGAATTGTGGGGAATTTAGAGTTAAGTGTTGATTCATTCAAGCTTTTAATCAGCATGGCCTAGACTTTAGAACTTCATAAAGATAACATTGAAGCTGAATGCTGCTGGAGTATAGTGTTTCGAATATTCAAAGCGGAGCGGGACACTATACTCGTTCAATGGGTCATCAAGCCACAGTCTTTTCAACAAAGAAATTATTTTACGAAAATGCGTTATATTTTTACGATTTTGTCGTCACCAAATCTCTGTTTCTCAAAATGTACGTCTATTGTAGAATTTTCAGCAAACTAAGCAAGAAACGTGATCTAGTATTTACTCAACATTACGGATTTCTCGAAATACATTAAAAAATGTGACCTAGATACCTAACTGCCCCAAGCTCTTTAAATATAACACCTTAAACCAGGGTTACCAGGTGCTCAGTCACGTTGATTGTCATGTTGTACTGCGCAAGTCAGCAAACAATCTGGCGTAATAAACGT